CTAAATTTGCTTAGGTTGGAAAAAAATCTGTGTAAGGCACAAAGTCCTACAAGGCAGATGCTTTTTAAACCAGGATTTCATGCTGCAGAGAGGGGCCATGATTGATTTATTTCTCTGCTTCTATTTATTTTTGGTATACTTTTTCGGAGGATCTCAGATCAGAAGGGTAGGTTAGGAGTAATCCTGGTTTCAAAGCACATTCTCAGTGTTGGTCTATGCCAGGCCCACCTTTTGTTTCTATGCCCAAATAGTTATGAGTGTCATTGTTATTCCCTTTTGCCTCATCCTCACTGCCTCTCCTCACTCTTCTCCTCCTTTCTGAATCAATGTCTGTGACTTTTTTTTTCTGGAGACAGGTTCTTGCTATGTAATCCAAGAACTTACTCTGTAGCTCAGGCTGGCCTTGAACTTGCAGTGATCCTCCTGCCCCAGCCTCCCAAGTGCTGAGATTACAGGTGTGTGCCACTGCACTAGGCCAGATGTGACATGTTTGATACATATCTTTGGCTTTAGATTTTCTTATAAAACACAGAATTATTTTGTGTGTTAATCTATTTTTGAGTTAAATAATTGGTGGTATGCTCTTGACCGTGCTCTGTTCCTTAATTCTTCACCCAGTTCTGTCTTTAAAAATCTGTGCTGCTATTCTTTGTATCTAGTTGATTGCTTTCCAGTTCTCCGTGGTAGTACATGGTGCACACCTACCGTAGTTTACAAATCCATTTCCTATTGATCACTGGTGACTTTGACTTGCTTCTGTTACCAGCATGACCAGTGTGATAATAAACAACCTTCTTAGGGACTTGTGCAAATGTTTCTTTGGAGGAGTAGAATAGTTGGTTCATAAGATATATATTTGCTTTGTTTGCCATTTGCTGTCCAGAATGACTTGATCGATTTTTGTCTATACCAGCAATGTATGAGAATTTTTATTTGCCACTCTGTTGATATGTAACAGTGTTCAACTTTCTGATTTTTGCTCAAATGATGAGGTATAATGTGGCATCTTATTATTCTAATGTGAATTTTCCTGATTTCTTATGAATTTAAGCATCTTTTTTACATATTTTCTAGCTGTCTGGGACTATAGCTTAGTGGTAGAGCACCTGCCTAACATGGGCAAAGCCCTAGGTTCAATCCCTTGTACTAAAAATTAATCTTACATACAGATATATTTTTGGTAGCCATTCTGATTTCTAATGCTTTGAATTACAATTTAATTCCCCTATGCAGTTTTCTATTTGCAGTCCTATCTTTTTTTTTTTTATCAATTTGCAAAAGTTTCCTGTGTAATCTGTGCCTCTCAAACTTTAAGGTGAATAAAATTACCCAGGATGTTGTTGAGGTTCAGATTATGATTTCAATGAGGGTAGTGACTCAAGAGTATGCATTTCTGATCAGCCCCTAGTGGTGCAGAAGGCTATGATCTTTTGAGTAGCCAGGTTGTTGATGTTAGTTTGAAATTTTTTTTTTTTTTTTTGTACTGGGAATCGAACTCAGGACCTCATGCTTCCCAGGCAGGTGCTTATGCCACTGAGCTATATCCCCGGCCCATAGTTTGAGATGTTGCAAAAGATTTCTAACAATTTTATCACATTATTGCCTCTTTTGTCTAGGTTTAGTGTAATCAAGCACAGCAGCATTTTGTCTTATGGTTATTAGCTACTTTTCTCTCATTGCTGAGACAAAATACCCAATGCTCAAAATGAAAGAAGGAAAGGTTTAGTTAGCTCATAGTTTATGGAGGTTTCAGTCTGTAATCAGCTGCCTCCAAGGCAGGTTGGCATGGCTGAGGGGCAACAATTCATGGTGGCAGAAGACAGCAAGAGTAACAAGAGCAAAAAGGGGGCAAGCAAACCTCTTTTCCTCCCTTATATTATAAGTAGGCAACCTGCCCTAGGGTAGGTTTAGCACTCACACCATCTCCAGGGAGCCTCTTGCCCTGGTTCAGGATGTTTACAAAGTGAGGACCCCGGACCCCTATTGAGTCACTTAGTTAAACTTCTACACTTCTCAAGTTGACACAGTGAATCAACCATTACAACATTCTGGAGTAAACAGCTGCCCCAGGACATGTCATCTACACCCTAGGATGTAGAACTGCGGAGTTACTTAGTTAAGCTTCTGAATTTCTCACATTGACACAGTGTATCAACCATTGCAGTTACACTGTTGGGAGACTTGTTGCAGAAGCTCTTCATTATACCTGAGTCACAGTGATGTTTTTCTCTGTTAATGTTACAGTTTTTGTTGTTATTATTGTAGTGGGGTCTTACTGTGTTGCCCAGGCTGGTTTTGAATTCCTGGGTTTATTCCTTCTGACTCATCCTACCAAGTAGCTGGGACTATAAGTGTGGCTTGTCAGACCCAGCTAGCTTTATAGTTTTATATCAAATTTAAGGATTTAATACATCTGAAGTCACCTTTGTATTGGGTATGAATCAGGTAACTAATTTTAATTTTCCTCTTTATAGTAATCTAGTTTTCGATTTTAAGTATGTTTTGATACATGGAAGGATTACTCTTGCCTTTCTTTTCAAATTTGTCTTATATCTAGATATTTGTAGATATTTATCCTTTTAGATGAATTTTAGAGTAGCTTTTCAACAACAGGCTGAAATCTTGAACTGTACCAATTTTATTTATTAATTTGGAGGAGATTGATATTTCCAATATTTCATCTGTGAACAGGGACATATCTTCATGCAGTCAGGTCTTTCATGTCTTTTTTTAATAGAGTTTAAAGTTTTCCCCCCATAAAGTCTTGTTGATTATTTTTAATGTTTCTTACAAGTACTTTATTGTTCTTGTTGCCTTCTGGAGTATTTGTTACATGTCCTACTTATTCTGACTTAGAGAAATGTGAATAGTTTTTATAAACTAATTTTGTATCTCACAGTCTTGGTGACCTTTCTTATTTATTGCTATGATTAGAAAATAGTAAACTTTTGTTTATTCCATTCTTCTTTGCATTTTAATTTCATTTCTTGCAGTTGTCATTTATTTAAAATTTAATAGACCCTTTAGGAGCAGTTTTAGGTATAGGAACAATTCAGACAGTATATATTCCCTCTTCCATCACCCAAAGTTGCCACCATTATTAACACCTTGTACTGCTGTTGTACATTTGCTATAACTGATGAATCACCATTGATACATTACTGGTATTAATAAAAATCCTAGTTTACATTAAGCCTCAGTATTTGTATTGTTCAGTGGGTCCTGCCAAATCTATAATGTCATGTATTCAGTACCACGTATCATGCAGAACTGCTTCACTGCTCTAAAAAAATGCCCTGGGCTCCATGTATTCATCCTCACCCTCATTCTTGAATATATGTCAACTACTGATATTTTTGTTGTCTCTATAGTTTTGTTTTTTAAAGAATGTCATGTGGCTGGAATCCTGTGTTACATGGCTTTTTCATACTGACTTCTTTCATTTAACAATATTCATTTAAATTTTTTCCATGTCTTTTGTATCTTAATAGTTTATTTCTTGCTGTCACTGAATGATATTCCACTGCATGAATACTAGTTTGTTTATCCATTCCTGAAGGACATTTTGGTTCCTTCCAAGTTTGGTAATTGTGACTAAGGAGCTGTAAACATTTGTGTGCATGTTTTTGTGTGAACATAAATTTTCAATTAATGTGGCTAAATACCTGTGAGTGTGATTGCTGGATTGTTTGGTAAGGGTATGTTTAGTTTTATAAGAGACTGCTGAGCTGTCCTCCAAAGGGGCTCTACCACCGTGTATTTCTACCTGAGATAAGTGAAGGTTCCTTTTTCTCCACATCTTCACTAACATTTGATGTTTGCTTTTTGGATCTTAGTCATTCTAAGAGGTGTGTTGTGGCACCTCATTACTTTAATTTTCCATTCAATAATGACAGATTACATTGAACATCTTCTTATGCTTATTTACTATCTGTATTATCTTCTTTGGTGAGGTGCCTTTTGCATCTTTCACCTGAATTTTAATTGGGTTGTTTTCTTATTGTTGAGTTTTAAGAATTTCCTGTTACACTATTAGATAAAAGCATTTTGTGTGTGTTTTAGAAAGGTTTCTCTCTCTGGCTTTGCCTTGTCTTTTCATCTTTTTAACAATGTCTTCTATCGAGCAGAAGTTTTTAATTTTAATAAAGTCAATTTAGAAATTTTCTCTGCATGGATTGTGCTTTTGGTGTTGTATCAAAAAACTCTTTGCCAAACTCAAGGTGACTTGGACTTTTTCTGTTTTCTTCTTACAGTGTTGCATTTTACATTTAGGTCTGTGTAGGGCCCATCTGTAGATTCAGCTTTTGCACATGGATATCCAGTTTTTCTAGCACCATTAGTTGAAAATACTATCTTTTTTCTATTGAATTGCTTTTAATCTGTCAAAGATCAGTTGACTGTATTTGCATGCTTCTATTTTTGAGCTTTGTATTCTATTCTGTTCATCTATTTTTCTACTTTTTCATTAATATCACACTGCCTTGATTACTGTAGGCACTTTTTAATTTGTTTTATAACTTTGCATTTCTGAAAAAGGATTTTTGATAGATTATAATTTCAGTTGATTAGGAAATAGGGCAATTTTAATAAAAAGATGAAAATCATATAAAATTAAAATATTGATTCTTCTGCCAGAGGCTCCATTCTTTAAAAAGCTAGAACACTTCTGAAATGGAACAGCTGGAACAGAATTATTATAATAGAACCAGGCCTCGCCTGTGGATGGTTTACTTGCTGGCAACCACATTGACAGCATTGAAAATCCAAGGTTTAGGTAGGGAAAAGTACTGCAGGTGGGTTATTTTTCAATATTATTGTTTTCCTTTACATTTGTAGTGATTGGTTATTTAGTTAGTATGACATAGTTATATACAATTCATTGATGACACGTTCTAATACTTTAGTTAGCTCTTCTAATAATTTAACCATCAACAGAGATTTTTTGGAAAAAATATATATGCCAAATCTGATCATATCTCCCTTAATTTTTTTTTTTTTAGGTCAATGATGCCTTCCTTCATGTTATGCAGCGCAAATCCACAGGAAAGGTGCTTCTGTCTCTCAAATAAGCTCTCACCCCAACAGCAAACTCAGCATGTCCAAATCTACACGCTTCATGTTTCCCCCAGACCTGATTTCCTTTCTGGGTTTTTAAAGGTGTTATCAACTGTCTTACTAACACAGGTTTAAAATCTTGCAGTCACTTTTAGTGCTGTGTTTTTCTTGCTTATAATTAATATGTTTGTAGAGGTTGTTATCCAAAGTTGGACCCTTTTAAGAGTAAAGGTGCTATTAGTAATTACACCAAGAAAATATGTCCAAGGCAAACTAGAATGCCACCTTATTCAAAATGTATCAGTCGCCTTGTCTGTCATTCCCACTATTAAAATATCTCTTACCTCCATGTCCTCTTTTCCGTTCTGCCTGTGTCTCATCTGCTATCTCTAGTGACCACCTAACTGGTTTTCCTATCTTTAAACTACCCCCATCTGCTCCATCCTTGTTATACATTATTGCCATGGTGATCTTCCCAAACCATAGCTCTGAGTATATCTTGTCTTAATAAACCTACAGTGGCTCACCAGTGCCTACACAGTGGAGTTCAGACCCCTTGAGCCCGCCCTGCACTGTGATGATGGTTTTTCTCCTCTGTACTTTCCAGCATCGTGGTCTACAACACCACCAGTCCCTAAGAAAGCCCCCGTTTTCCTCATTTTTGTCGCTCATGAAGTTTCCTCTACCTTTATCCCTGTCAAGCACAGGGCTTCCTGATCTCAAAAGGTTACATTCCTCATGTTCCTTAATCCTGAGTCATAATCTCTTGTTTTCCTCTTCTACTTCTGTAGCTTCTTCTCCTAGGTCGGTTACAATCTAACTCGTATCACAGGGAACAGCCTGTGTAGTGGAATGATCACAATGAACACATCTGAATTCAAGATGTGAGTTGGAATCTCAGCCTTGCCTGAGGTGGTCACTTAAAAGTTCTGTGTATTCATTCTCTCACTTTAAAGTGGCTATTAGACTATTAACCTCTCACAGTTATTGTGAGCAGTACATACAGTGATTGGATAATGTACCTGGCAGATAGTAAGTGCTCAGCAAATACTGGTTACTTTCACTTCTTTCTCTCCTTTCCCAGGGTTTTGTAAATTCCTTGAGAGCAACTACTCTGATTTCCCTTTGTGAATTTTCACACTCCCTAACATAGTGAGTTACTCTGGGTAAATATGCAATAAATTGAATGAATTTGAATTGCCTGCAAATCTTTAATTGTAGCATTAAGTAAAAAATATCTTGTTCTGCAAATACCCCACATATCCATTGACAGGTGAATGGATGAATATGGTATGTATATACACTGGAATATTAGTCAATTAAAAAGGAATAAAATTCGTACACATGCTACAACATGGATGAATCTTGAAGATATTCTGTGTAAAATAAACCAAAACTAGAAAAGGCAAATATTCTATGATTCCATTTATGTGAGATATCTAAAACACTCCGATTTGTAGAAGCAGAAACTAGAATGGTGATTGCTGGGGAAGGGGGTGATGGGGAGTTACTTCATGGCTATAGAGTTTCAGTTTGAGAAGATGAAAAAGTTATGATTACACTGGAGTGGGAATATACTTAATGCTACTGAACTATTTATACTTAGAAAGGTTACAATGAAAAGAGGACAACATAAAGTGGTAAATACTGTGTGTTTTGCCATCATTAAAATTTTTTCTTTCAAAAAGGAATGTTACCCTCACTTCTAAGAGAATCAAGTTAGGAAGGAAAACAGAGAATATGTGTACAGTGCTAAGTTCAGGTCGAAGGAAACGCCAGTTTCTGTTCTGGTCTATGGTCTGTGGACCTACACTGCTGCTGGGTCCTGGTCCATGACTTATGGTGTCTTCACTTAGGATCTTTCCACTTTATGACTGCATCAAAGTGATACAGTGTATACATTTTATAGAAGCCTTTACATGTTGGTCTTTGAGTTAGCAGTGTACAGTTAGGAGTCACTTGTTTCCAATGGGTGAATAATGGATACTCTACAGCAGGGGGCCCCAAAACCCAGACCTCTACTGGTGTTTGGCCTGCTAGGAACTGGGCTGCACTGCAGTGAGTGAGTGTTAGCTAAGGAAGCGAATCTTTATCCATATTTATAGCTGTTCACATTACTGCCGGAGCTCTGCCTCCTGTCGGATCCATGGTGGTGTTTGATTTTCATAGAAGCGTGGACCGTACTGTGAACTGTGTATTTGAAGGATCTAGGCTTTACGCTTCTTATGAAAATCTTATGCTTGATGATCTGAGGTGATGATGCTAGTATTGGGGAGTGGATGCAAGTACACATTAACATTAGCAGGGGTTTTCACTGAGACCATGGTAACTCACCTGCTTGTAGAGTCAATAGCAAACCCTATCAGAGAGTGGCTAGCAGCTCTGCATTATGGTGAGTTGTAAAATTATTTCATTATATATTACAGTGTAAAAATACTAGAAATAAGAGACACAGTAAATGCAATGTGCTTGAATCATCTGAAACACCACTTTGCATCCCTAACCTCCCATCTACAAACCTCCACTCTCACCCTGTCCATGGAAAAATTATTTTCCATGGAACCAGTACCTGGTGCCACAAGGTTGTGGACAGCTGTTCTACAGTGTACTCTGTTGTTAAGCTATGATGTTTGGGAGGTTAGATGTATCACATGCATTTTTAACTTACAGTATTTTTAACCTGTGATGGATTTATGGGGATATAACTCCACTGTAAGTTGAGGCCCATCTGTACTCTATTCCTCTTAATGCAGGGCTGATAATTGTCAAAAAAGGAGGAGATGGGGCTAAGATAAAAACAGGTGCCTGACTCAAGAGGGATGCAGATACTTCTGTTTATTCTTTATGAGGTTCTATCCCAGTAAATATGGTAAAACGTTTATAGTTCTCTGATAGGTAAAAATACCTGTCTCCTCAGAATCTCTTCAGCAGAAGAAATTTTTTAAAAAAGAATAGAATTGTAAAATATGGGTAAACATTTGCTGGGTGTAGTAATCCCAGCACTTGGGAGGCTAAGGCAGGAGGGTTGCCGTGAGTTTGAAGCCAGCCTGGGCTATATAGTGAGTTCAAGGCCAGCTTGAACTACATAGCGAGAATATGTCTTAGAAAAAAGGATGAACATTTGGGGAAAGAACTTGAAACTTAGAGAATAGTATGGGGGTGGGAATATCAGAGAAATCATTCAGGAGTCTGTTGTGGGCCCACATGGTATTTCCATGATGGCCACAGGACAAGCTGCTGCTGCTTTTGTGCTTCCTGGGAGCTTCCCTATGACTCCTTTAATATGCTTCCCCCCACCCCCCGCTCCCTTTTCCCAGCCCCACCTCATCTGCATAGGAGCTATTTTTATATTTAAATGAAAGTTGGTTTTCAAAAATCTCAAGAAACTCAACTTTGAGGGTCTGTAATTTTAAAATTACTTGACTCCCTTTGGCATCATCAAAGACTTGCTGGATGAACTCTGAGAGAGAAGGAGGCAATTGAGGATTGGGGCAAGCATGGGAGCCCAGCCAGAAGCTGCCTTCTTCACTGTGCAGAGCTGATCCAGAGGTGCCACAAGCAATGAAGATCGAATGTCCCTAGTTCACTAATGTCAAAATGCTTTAGATGGAAAAAGGCAATCATTAAGGAGAGTGCATTTCTCCAGCTTTAACAAGTATTGGTTGGAACCCCTGATGACCTGCTCTCTGCTTGCCTGTCTTCCTGTTTCAGTGGAATGATTTGATTTGAAAGCATTTGACTCATAGTTTAGTCATTGTTTGCTGGTTCTACCATCTGAGCCATTAGTCTGAAAAAAGAATCAGTGCGGCTCCCAGTGACAGTATTTATTCTATAGTCACAGACTTTTCTCAGCTCTTCTTGTGGGCTGCCTGCTGGAGAGATCACACCCACACACCTGCCTCTCCTTTTTCAGTAACTGTGGGCTTTTCCACCCGCACACTCTTCTCTCAACAACCGAACTGAGCTTTTCTGTCCTCAGTCATGGAATGAACCCGTCCTCACCCGACCAGTGTAGTTGACCCTGCTCTTTCCCCTGTAATTCTCACTAATTTAGAAAATTATCTTTTCTGCTTGAGCTATGGTAAAAATGAAAGCTTTGTGGACAAGTGAAAGGAAATAGAGGGGTTTCACACAGTCACCGGTAGTTAATAAAAAGTGTTCATAGACTAAGAAAAGTTCTTGCTGTTATTTTTTTGTTTTTCCTTGTAAGATTGTATAAGAGCTTTGAAGAGCAGTGATTTTCCAACATCTTTTTTATTCATAAAATAAGTGAGCAGAAGACTTAAATGAACCCTGACATTTCTAGTTGTTCTCCTCATCGTCAGAGCTTATTGCTAAATCGAAGGTCTGAATTGGACACCTGCTGCTTCCTGGAACTTTATCATTGTTGAGGAATCAGAGGTCTTTTTAAAACTATATTTAAAAATAGTCAGTTTCCTGAGCTTTAGTGACTTGCATCATTATTTTTAAAATGCACTGTTAACGTAATTACAATAATATTATATGGTTACTGAAAAGTCAGCCACCTAGAAGAAGAAATTGTTATTATCCCGTTTTCCCCTACATTGTGTCATTCCCATTCTCCAAGGAAACTGCAAGAAGCAGCTTGGTGTTAGTCTTGCAGAACACACACACACACACACACACACACACACATATGTGTATATATATGCATATATATATAAATTTAAAAATGGTATGTGTTGTTCTTGGTTTGTGTGGTTTATTGCAGTGATAGGGATGGAACCTCGGCCTCCCAAATGCTAAGCATGCACAGCACCACTGAACTAGCTACTCCCCAGGCCTAATGTGCTATTTTTAATCAGTAGCATCACGGAGATCATCCATACTAGTACATATAGAGCACTTTCATTGTTCTTATTGGCCACTTGGTGTCCTGGAGTAGGGACGTGTGTTGTATGTAATCACATCCTTACTAGTGGGCTTATTCATGCACATCCAGAATACAACAGTGAGCAAAAGCTACACATCTAGTGGGACATAGACATTAATGAAGTTCACAGAACCATGCTCAACTATAGGACCAAGTAAGGTAAAATGGGGGACTCTATTCAGGGAGGTCAAGAAGGATCCCCCTGAAGATTGCTTCTTGAACCTCTCCCTGATGGAGGGATCTGGGAATTTAAATAGGGCAGACAGAGGGACGTTCTAGGACTGGCTATGAAAGCATGGTGAGTAAAAGAAGCTAAAAAGGGCTAGTGGGCCTGAAGCCTCAGAAATTAAGGCAAGTGTTTCAGGGTGAAGCTGAAGGTGGGATCAGATTAGGCAGGGATTTGTAGGGAAGTTGTGGGAGATTTGACTTTATCTTGAAAGCCATTGAAGTGTTCTAAGTGTGAGAGGGAAAGGGCTGATAGCCCTACAATGGCATTTTGGAAGACTGTCCCCAGCAGCAGGTGGAGAGGGAACAGGAAAGGAACAGACCAATGAGTCCATTCAAGTCCAAATGAGAGATCCTGGTAGCTTAGAGTATGAAGGTCGTGGCAGAGAAGGAGAGAAATGTAAAGGCGGGAGAGCTGTGCAGGAGATAAAAGTGCAATGACAGTGTTAGATTGGGTGTGTGGAGTGGGCCGGAAAGGAGAAGGAAATGAAATGGGAAGAGGAAAGTAGAGTTGGATTTTGGCAGTGGAGAGGGAGGGGTACATTGGTGCAGAAGATGAAGTTTTGTACACACTGAGATATTTAAGAGGTGTCGAATAACTATTTTGTGTTCCAAGGAGAGGAGTGGCCTAGAAATACAAATCTGGCAGTCATGTGCATGGAGGTGATAGTGACACCCTGGGTTTGGCTGAGATGAGCCATGGAGAGTGCAGAATGAGACAGGCGAAAGGTGTAGACCAGCCACGACCATGTGTCTTTTTAGTAGAACTACAGAGAATTTCATGGCTGTGCTGTGGACCACCGAAGGAGGCTCAGGGTATAGTTTGGGATTTAAAGTAAATAACATGTAGTTACAAGGAAGGTTGTACCGCCCTGTGGTGAAGGCGCCATCCTCTCATTGCAGGACAAGGTACTGGGACTCTTAATTCCAGCTCTTTTTTTTTTTTTTTTTGAGACAGTGTCTCACTGTACAGTCCAGGCTGGACTTCAATTCTCTATGTAGCTCAAGTTGGCCTCACACTTGTGATCTTCCTGCCTCAGCTTCCTTAGTGCTGGTGTACAGGCATGTGCCATCATTCCTAGCTCTAGCTCTTTGATCTTGGGCTAGACTCATCTTTTTCTTTTTATGTTAAATGTAAAAGTAATAGTATGCTTTCCTACTTTGCTGGTAGAAATGATGAGACATAAAAGTGTTTTGTACATTGTCATTTTCATAATAGATTACAAGGTTG